GGCTCACAACCCAGGCAGGTGTCCTGACTGGGAATCGGACCGTGATCTCCGGCCTGGATCATATAGGTCCATGCTTAACCACTGAGCCGTGCTGGTCCAGCAATATTTTGTTTGTTTTTTAACAAAATAGCTAGTTTGATCTCAGTCTTGTCTATGAAGAAATTGGCATAATGGGATTTAGAATCTGATAGGAAATGAGTCAGTATCAGGCCTTCAGGGTTAATAGTCTCTAGATCCATTCAACTACAAAGCAGCACGTGTTCAGGACATAAAGCAGTTTATAGATGAATGGGAAGATTTATTTTTACTGAACTCATTAAAGATATATAATCTGTTACAGTATTTACTTGGTGCCCAGAACAGCATAAATAAGGTGGTTGTGTGGTCCGAGTCCTGAATGAATAGTGGTTGTCCAGAATAGTAGTTGTAATTTCAGTTATTGCTGAGACTGTAGCAAAAAAAAAAATAAACTGGCAGTTCAGTGGAAAAGTGAAATTAAAATTTGCTGAGCAAAATAATCAGTTGATCACATTAAAAATTTTTTCAAGCCCTAGGGAGACGGAGTGGAATCGGATGGTTCAAATAACAGCCCAAATTCAAGAGAAGTTTTTGAAACTTGTGTTTTCTTTTAACTTAGGATGTTGACTTCTCTTGGTTAAAAAAAAAAAATTATTTAACTTAAATTATCAGAACTTTTGAGCATCTTACCCTTTACACAGGAGTTTTCTTCTTCTAGATCCTAAGTTTGTTAATGTCAGAACCTGTGTGTGTGACGTGTTTCACAAATGAAAAGCCAGTAAGCTAGTGTTCGTTCTAACTTACCCAAACTATATATATTTTTTTAAATATATCTTTATTGCTTTCAGAGAGATGAAGGGAGGGAGAGAGAGAAACATCAATGATGAGAGAGTCATTGATCAGCTGCCTCCTGCATGCCCCCAACTGGGGATGGAGCCCACAACCTGGGCATGTGCCCTGACCGGGAATCAAACCATGATCTCCTGCCTGGATCCTAGGTCAATGCTCAACCGCTGAACCACGCCCGGCTGGGCTAACTTACCCAAACTATTGAACCTGTAAGGATTCACTTAGAAAATCCCCAAGCAGTATTCCTAAATCTGAATCTGAATTCAAGCTGTTGAGTTGCATGGTCTTGGAGGGAAGTAGGCAGTGCTACTGTTTAATGAAAATACTGATTGAAAACAAACAAAAAATTACTTGAGTTCTTAAAGACAGTCCTTAAAATATTGTATCCATACTAATTTTTAATTGTCAGTGTTACTGAATAATAGTGATGCTAAATTTGACTGAAACAGAAATATTAATTTCCAAAGTCTTTTTACTCTGTTTTTGCTTAATATAACTACAGCTTTGTTACATTTGTTTCCCAAAATATATTAAAACTTTTTCTTTATTATATAGAGTATATGTCTGCTATAATTATAATAGAGTAAAAATCTTTGGCTGCATTAGCAACTTCCAGGAGGCTGTCAAAGGTTGTGGTTTGGCATCACGTACTAGCTTTGTGACCTTGGGCATGATGTATAACCCTTTCTGTGTATATTTCTTCATCTGTAAAACCAGGAGAAAATCAATACCTGCCTCCTCGGGTGGTGCGGTTTCGATGGACTAAGCCATGCAAAGTTCTTAGATAGGTGCTGGCCTGGAGCACTCAAACAGGAACTCTCAGTTATGATCATAGCCATTTTCAGAGGTACTGTTTTGGTGCCGTAGCTTGTAAATATGTCTACATTATTATATAACTTTAGACTTTAAAATATGACTGATTTGAGCTTGAATGTTGGTTTCATCACATTTAGGAGCAAATTATTTTATCTTTCTGTGTGCCTTTATTAGCAAAACGGGGATATTAAGACCTTCTTCCCAGGATTCTTGTAAAGATTAAATTTGGTAGCGTTTATAAAGATTTTAGGAAAGTGCTCAGCATAAGTAAAATAAGCAGTCAGTAAATGGGGAGTATAGTGGTCATAATGGGCACACTGACGTGTGTGAGACAGTAATACAAGTGATTGAGAACAGGGCTCGGTAAGCACAGGGCTCTTCTATGACAAAGTTATGTCAGAGGGTTGTTGTGAGGACTGATGAGATTATGTATGGAAAGAGCTTGACCTGGTAGCTTAGTATCTGGCTCGTAGTGGGTCCTGCAAACATGTTAGCTGTTTTT